ATCGACGGGGCAGAAAGGAGCACTCAGAGACTGACCCTTGCAAACTTCATGCACTTCAGAAAAGCTGCCACAAATCAGTGGGGAAGGGCAGACAGACACTAATGGCATGAAAAACCAAACCCAAACAAAACTGGAACCTACCTGATACCACAGGGAAGATGGATGACCACAGGGTTTTTTTTTTACATTAACCCTTTTAGGTAAAAAGTAAAACTATACATAAAATTAACAGAAGACAATGTTAGTGGGCTAAGGGTGAGAAAGGTCAGAAGTACCAGCCATACAGCAAAACGGATGGGTGGATTTGCTTACACCAAAAGAGAGGGACTCCTATCACCAAAGGATGCTGTGAACAAACATAGCATACTGGGAGAAGATATATGTAACACCTAAAGCAACAACAGACTAATATCTACATTAAACAAGGGACTGTGGTAAATCAGCAAGGAAAAAAAAAAAAAAACCCTGGGTAAAAAATCAGCAGAGAATGAACAGGCAGTTAACTGAGAAAGACCATAAGATGCCAAGAAAGATATAAAGAGGTGCTCACCCTTATCGTAGAGAAATGTAAATTAAAACAACCTTACAATCTCACTTTACATTCAGCACATTAATAAAAATTAGGAAGCTGGATAATGCCAAGGGTTGCGGGAGATTCGCTGTTGGGGGATTGGAGGCTGAGGCAGCCTTTCAGGAGAGGAGCCTGGCAATATGGGATCAGATTAAGCAAATGCACCACCTGTGATCCCGCTAGCCTGCTCCTGGGGATGTGCCCAAAGAGATCATCCAAAGATGATTAAGGGGACATGTGTAAAGATGATCCCCGCAGTGATGATTGTGCTGCCAGAGCGGGGTCGAGCCACACGCCCAGCACTGGGAGCCTGGGTGGGAAAACGGTGCATGCGCACATGGGAGGTGGTGCAGTAACTGCCAGTAATGGATTAGCTGTATGCACAGCAGCATCTATGGGTCTTTAAAAGCGTGATGCCTAGTGGAAAGCAAAAAAAGACTTACAGCCAACATTTTTAAATTAAAAAGCATCCTCACAAAGCAATAGATGCTACATAAAGACACACAAGTAAGGTGCACATCAACACAATAACACGATCGCTGGTCATGAGTGGAGAATGGGAAAGAGAAATGAGGATAAAGGGGACTAAGTAGATTTTTTAAAAAGCTAAGTCCTTGCAAAGCCTAGAAAATAAATGCGCTGAACTGAGGAGGAGTATGAGTAATTTAGCCTTCTGCACCTGGGGCCTACAGAAAACAAAGCAGCAAAGAAAGAAAGAAAAAAAAGGTGCAATGGGCTTGAAAGAAGCTGGAAAAGCTATTTCCCAGCTTCAAGCAACTTGGGTGCAGACTGTCCATTGTTTGAAGGAAATGGTTTTCCCGGGCGGCTGCGAGGGACCCCTGGAGGAGAGGCGGGAGCTGGGCAGAGAAGCAGCGTGAACACAGGGGTCGGGACTGCTGAGGTCTCCAAGTGGAGATGCCCAAATCCCAGAGGGGTGGAGGGCCAGCTGAGGGGGTGCTAGAGCTGTTACCACAGAGGTGGAGGCCTCATTTGTGTCCACTGTCCAGCAAGGCAGAGGGGACATTCAGGTAACACATTAATCCTGTTGTAGATAATAATTTCCTAACAAAAATAGGATCATAATATATTGTTGTGTAACACACTTGCATCATGAAACGGCATGTTGTCAACATTTTCTATGATATTAAATACCCTTCTACAACACTGGCATGGTTTTATGGGGTCCATGCAAGTTACTTATTGCTCAGATCCAGGCCCCACCCTCCACTGGTCACAGTCTCCCTTTCCAGCTGGCTCCTTGCCGGGTTCAGCCAATGGAGACACTGCAAAAAAGTAGAAGATGGGAGGGAGAAGCCAGGGTATTTCTAACTGACTTCCTCCCTAGTCTGTGGTTCCAGCTCCTGTA